CTCACAGCTTCTTCAAAAGTCGAAGGATGGACTCGAAAGACCTCTAGTCTGTCCACGCCAGTGCGAAGCCCTTTCATGAATACAGTTGCATACACTGTCTCAATGATAGGGTCACACTGCATTGCAGCCATCAGACTTCTCAACTCTTGGAAATATCTGTAAGCTAATTCTAAAGCTGAATGGTAGACAAGAAGCGAATGCGCACGAGATAAGACTAGTTGGGCGGCAAGAAAACTCGCAAAAGGTCTAGCATGAGCGAATCGCACGTGGGCAAATCCAAGTCAACCGACGTGCTGCACGTCAGATCCCACTCTCTAGATATCCCGTCGAGCCAAGAGATGAACAGCAAGACTCGCGGATGCCCAAGTGAGATTAAGCCGGATCTCATGGCCATCTCAATCTCACGGATCTAGAATGTGGATTTTTCCTTCTCCTTTACAGATTATTTTATATCGTCCACCCAAAGGGGACGAGGCCTATCCTCTTCATCTGGAACTAGCGCAAAGTGGGTTGACATAGCTGCCTCTATTTGATGTTGAACCTGCTCTACAAGGGTCGTTTCGTACTAAACGAAGATCACGACACGTGCAACTAGCACATTGGAACCTTGCTCAGCTAGGGTATCCACATATTCTGGGCCTACGTCCGCGGTCAGGAATATAGCGAAACATTTTAGTCTTCAGAATGGGGTTTGGAGTGTTCCATCCTCACAGAGGATCAGTCGTAAAGACTCAGGCGTGGGTTGACTACAAGTGCTACCAAGTGTAGAGGAGCTCCACAGTTTCTTAAGTCAGACGAATCCTTTACTCTCAACGATCAACTTTAGGTCATAGAACCCGACTCAGAGAGTCAACAAGCTTTCAGGGCTTAAGGTTTCTGTTCCAGTAAACCAAACTATTCAAAGAATCACGGTAAAGAGTGCTCTAAGATTATCTAATTTAACAAAGCGTTGCTCGACTCTTCTACGTCCACAAAACGCCTCAAGAAGTCACGTGTTATATGGGGATCAAAATCGGGACTGAACTTTATTTGTTTATCGAAAGAAGTATCAGAATAACGTACAGTCTTCCCTCCCATAAGTTTACCCCCGATGATTTATAACCATTATTAGGTTATTGATTTCCGCGTCCGCGGACCTCGTTCTATGGCCGCGAAGTCAGAAGTTTTAAATTATGATCAAAAAGGGTAAAATTACTATAAAAATGATCACTTTTTGCATTAAAGAAGGGAAATACTTGAATCACCTGTCGAGGGTGGTTTGGGTGGTGAGGGTGTTGCGAAGATCAAGCTTGAGGTTGTGAAGGACTTATAAGCAGCTTGGTGACTTTCCGAGATACGTCGAGCAAGGATCAGACATTCTGAAGGAGTTCAATCTTCTCGGTTCTGGTAGCTTTCTCTACGACAGGCGCCGCATCTTCACTGTTTTCCCCCTCATCATCTGCCTCCAAAATATCCTTTACAATCTCGTTGTCAGTTAACTCATGCTGATCAGTCTCATCCTCTTCGATGGGATCGAGAAGCTTCAAAATCTTGATGGGATCTCGGCCACGCAGCTTGTTGAGCTGTGTTATCAGCTCTTGCTCCAACCTACCTCCCTTTTCCTAGACCTCCGTTGCGCCATCTTTACTCCTTTCCACCTCACTGCACTTACGATGTCCGATTCAGTAGAAAAAGCCCCGTGTGGCTAAAGCAGTTGGCAATGGTAGTGCTTGAAATCTCGTTCCAGGCAGCCAACGAACAGAGCATGACAGTAAGTTGATCGACTTTGTGGATGTTAAAACCCTCACTACGCTCGTCACAGTCGATCGCAATCTGCAGGTGGTGACGGCGATACCGCCGCTTGAATGCTGCGATGACACCGGCATTCATCAGCTGAATTATGGACGTAATACGTGATGGAAGCAGCTGGACCTTGAATTAGTTAATGCAAGGTCTTTCGTCATTTTCGACCGAGCAGTGTCAATCAATAGAAGGATCTTTCTACTTTGATCTGAAACAATACATTATTGGAATCATATGTTTTCTAATTTTAAATGGATACGTAACTTCATTGTTTCGTCTGGATTTGCATGTCATTCCAGGAAGAACACGACCGTCATCCAAGCCTTTGTGCTGTTGCGATTGAGAAATCCATGCGCTTGACATGATTTCTTGTCAGAGCATCGGGGCTTCATGGCTTTCCAAATATTGAAAGACTGAAGCTTGTCAGAGCCATCAGCATTTGAAGTAAGCGCAATTGTGATTCGCGACTGCATAGGATGTCAGTGCATATCCATGTGACAGTATATGACAACTCCCATTCTGCAATATACTCACCTTGTCTTTTTTGTGTCCTTCAATTTCTTGCTGTGCAATAGTCCTGTCAAGTGTCATGCTGTAGTATAGTCCTGCACATTAATTCTATCAGACTCGGTTTCAATTCAAAATATAACAAACAAAATTTACCGGTTTAGTCCATGTTGTAAACATCACACAGCGCGTACTCTGCGATGACCCTCTTTACATCAGGCAAAGCTCAATTCATTTTCTCCATGTCCACCGAGTCTTTTGCACCGTAAATGTTGATAGCGCCTAGCATGTGATGTTGCTGGAATTAATAAAGCCATTCGTGGGGAGAAAGTGATGGCGTCGTCAGGAGCACCAAGCAGTTGAGCAAGCCGATTAGTCTTCGCACAATGATATCCCCGGTGATAATCACTCGGCGGTGTTCACATTGCAGGACCCAAAGAGACACGGCTTCTTCCAGTATGTGATGTTGAACCAGTCGCTGTCGCTTTGCATTTAGGCTGCTTGGATCCATATTCTCCAGATTAGACCGCTTTCGAAAGATCTTGCTGATTGATGCCTGTGACAGCGTGTTGACAACGCTGAACTCCATCGAAGCCCATTTGGCCAGTGCCGTTTGAGATAAATATGGGTACCCATCCTCGTGTTTGCATATTTGCAAACGTTGTCCATTGGTAAGACGGATCTGCGATAGTTTTTACTGCTCAGATATCACACCAAAAGGCAAGACACGGTTAAAAACTGTATATATGTGGCTTTCCCTGTGCAATAATTGATAGCTCAGACAAAAGAAGCTATGGGTCCGTCTCATACCGTTAAGAAGGTAGGAAAATAGCCAGGAACCTGAGACTTTGTTCTGTTCCAGCAGTGAAAGAAAGCCTTATGGATGGATTTTGGCTTGTACTTGAGGGAAGTGGGGGTTGGTTTGGGTGGCCAGGTCCGCTTTTTTGACCACTCAATTGATTAGTTCTCCTTATGTACGATACGCAGAAATCAATTAGTTATAACCTCTGCTAAGTTATGGTGATTGTCGTCCACCGTACCCAGAACTTATCGGAGGAATGACTGTACTGAAAGTCTCTATCACGAGTTCTCGACGAGTCTACCACAGCAGACGGTGACGATGAAGCTGTCGTGCTTGTTCCATACACGCTCTATACACATATCGATGCTTCTCGACGTCGCGCTTTTACCTACCAAACCCTATGTAAGATTCAAAGAGATAGGTACGTGCGGATTTTCACACTTCTTGAGACGATGGATTACGAGAGCGCATCGGCGCAGACTTCGAGGTCAGTCATTATCGGTTTTGCAAGCATCTACCCACATCTCAGCGTCAAAGCATGCGGTTCGCTAGCCTTCTTCTTCTTCTTGCCGTCGGTGTTCTCTGCGTGACGTTCGCGTCGGGGCAAGCGGCAGATAAAAAACAAACGAATCGAGAAGCGCCCGTCAAGCAGGCGCCGGGTACTACAGTTACTCCAGGTTCTAACAAGTAACTCTGTGGGATGGTGACAAAGCTGAAACTGGTCAGCGGCCGGCGCGAACGACAATATCGAGCGACAAAGCTTGTCGTGCAGAGTCGACGCTCTCATCGGACAGTGAACAAGCAGTGGAGGCGAGAGGCTGATGGTTGCGTCGGACGGCGGGCTGCTCTGGCCGCCTTCGGTGACAAGTTTCTTTCAGAAATTGCGTTGCGGCGGACGTTGGATGCTGAATACTGGAGAAGTTGACGACGGTCTCACGTTTAATGCACTACGAAAGAGTCGAAACGCGTTTGCTTTTGTCCTATCGATAGTCTCTGCCTCAACTGTCACCCACAGGAACAAAGATGGACCACGCAGTATTGGTATCGGTGTCTGCGTCTGCCAACGGATCGTTGTTCTCGGCAATTCGCTTCAACGACTCGTTTCAGCGACGTACGTACCTAGCCACAACAGCTTCACACACAACGCCCTTCAAGCCATGTGCCCGTGGTCAAGCAGTGCCACATCGATCAGCTGTACCACCAGTCAGTCGAAAGCAAGCAAGCGAACAGACCACGTTCTGAAGCACAAGCAAGTGTCGTTGTGTATCATTGTTTGTTGCCACTGCGGTCCGCCCGTCCGTCTCTCTCGGTGCTTCAGGTTTCCATCCACTGATCGTCGCTTCTTTGACCGAGCCATCATTATCAGCAGGACGTTCATCGACTTTGACACGTCCCCGTCGCCCTCTCGCTATGTCGCATCACAGGGAATCGAGCGCTCAAGACAGCCGAGAGAGCTCAGTCAGTCGATCGAGATGCTGCTCACGTTCCTCGAAAAGCTCCCGCTGAGCCAGAGCGGCAAAGTGTTCGTCGGCACGTCGCTCTGTCTCGCCATCTGCGCGTACCCCATTGTCCAGAAGCGTACGCTGCGCTCGTTCGCTCCACTCGCTTGTCCGCCGTCTAACTCGCACCTGTGCTTTCCCTCCTCCTTCGCTCCTTCTGTCTTGTAGAACGCAAAGCGGGCCACGACCTCTTCTCTTCCGAGCAACCGCAAGCTATCGTGGACCAGGAGGTCAGGGTCCGTCGGGAGAAGCTCATTATCAAGTAAACACCTGCAGCAGACGATCGTGTCGGGCGGACGCACCAGTTGAGCTGCTGATGACCGTCGAAGCCAACTGCGGCGGCTGTTGGAAGACATCAGCGATCCTCGAGCCGAAGCTGCTGATAACGTAGTCGCACAACACGGTCTTGGTCACATCATGTTGTACGACGACGTTTGCACTTTGTACTGTCCCGGGCCTTTCTTCAGCAAGTAACACTCGTTGCGCAGGATGTCCACGAAGTCCCGAAAGTCGTCCACCTTGAGCGCCATGCTGTCGACCACTTGGACCAGGTCGTCCATGGAGAACAGACTCGTGTTGCGTCGGGCTGCCGCTTTCATGAGCCGTGCGACGTACGCTTTCACCTTCTTGGCCAGACTCATGCCTTCGCTGCGGCCAAAGTCGAGACTGCTGTCTTCAGGGACGCACGTGTCGCGCAAACAGTCCTGCAGGATGTCAACGACATCTCGGGGGTGCTCGACCGAGACGGTCTCAGCGAGTTCCGCTCGAGCGCGCGCTTGCGAGAGACGGATGAGCGACTCGAGCTGCCGTGTGGTGATCGGGATGCTGTCCGCCGAGTTCTGATCGCCCTCGCCTGCTGCACGCAGCTCCAGATACTTCTGTTGAAGCACAGTCGCATCCTCAGGTGACAGACGTGGGTGCACGTATCGGCGAGCGTACGCGATAAACTTGCGCACAAAGTAGAGGGGTATGGGGTCGATGCTGAACTCGGACACGTTCTGACGGAGACGGTGCGATAGCATGCGGTGACCAGACTCGGCGGCTGGTTCGTAATTGCTTGACGGCAGTGTGTTGGCGTGTCTGCTCGACTTCCATGAACTCGTTGGCGCACAGTCGTCGCGCACGCGCTTCCTCGACTTTCGCGCGCCACGTGCGTGAGAGTTCATCACGTGCTCCGACAACAGCCGATCTCGTTCTTCGTCCGGCCGGTCCAGCAGGATGAAAACGAGGTCGAAGCGAGACAAGAGCGGAGCTTTCATTTTCAGGTTCTCTCGCACCGACTGACTGCGGTCGTAGTGACCGCCGCTGGGATTGGCAGCGGCAATGACGGACGTCCGAGCGTTGAGGCTGCACACGATACCTGCCTTTGCAATACTGATGCTTTGCTGCTCCATCGCTTCGAGCAGGGCCTGGTAGTCGATCCCCATTTTGTCAAACTCGTCGATGCAGCAAACTCCCTGATCGGCGAGAACGAGGGCACCGGATTCCAGCGCGTAGTCGCCGGATCCGTCTTTCACCATTGTGACAGTCAACCCCGTCGTGGTAGTGGTGTTTCCACCCACGTACACAGCTCGTGGCGCAACCATGGACACAGCCCGAAGCATCTGACTTTTGCCCAGACCAGGATCGCCAACAACTAGCACGTGTGAATCTGCTCTGCTCACGCATGGCGTGTCTTTGTCATCCGAGTTCCGAGTTCCTCCGAGCAACGCCAGGATCAGACCAGCCTTCACGATGTCGTTGCGATAAATGCCGGGACACAGGGAATGGACAAGCCGGTCGAAGACGTCGCCCTGATTGATGATACTGCTAATCTGTTCGAGGTCTTCTTTGGCAAAATCAATGTCCGAAGCTTTGTCTTTGTCCGCCTACGTTGAAGCAAGCGGACACAACATGCGAGGTCCATCATTCCGCATCCGACAAGCCCTTCACACCATCGCACAAGTTACCTTTGCCGAGTTTTCGACGGAGTTGGCGCTGATGTACAGTATATACAGGCTGTTTGCTTGCGCACGCTTGCCATACCTTCCTCCGTGGATTTCCGAGTTGACGCTCTTCACGATGCCTGAGATCGTCACGACGTTACCAGGAATGCAAGAGTCCACAAGATCCTCGTACAATTCCACCTCAATCTGCGCGCCACGATGATCAACTCATTGGACGTAAGTAACGAACGGATGGGTCATACATAGGCAGGTAACATGTTACCATTCGCGGCACACGGCCAGGGCCAACATCTGTGGCTTCGATCTCCTGCAGTCTTGACAACATCAGCAACAACAATAACAGCAACAGCAACAACAACAGCATCAAAGACCACAATGACCACATGCGTGTGATGAGTCAGTTGCATCTTCGGAGAACCCCACACGCGCTATTCCTCGACCCACTTGATCTTCTAGTAATCGACGGTATCCACCGACGACCGGTTCGGTAGCAGCGTCCGACCTCGACACGGCGAATGCTCACACCCCTGTGGAGGAGTGAACTTTCCCTCGGGGAAGGCTCTCGACGTCGCTTCATTGCACTTCGCACACACAAAGTCGCACCTCGTGACGAGTGGCTTGACAGCGCTCACTCGCACGACCGTGCCAACAACACTGACAAACTGGTGCACCAGTTCTGCTTTCACCGCAGCAATGGGCAGCACCGGCGTCACGCCGTGCAACCGAACCGTGATCTTGGTGCGACCAACGAGCACGTTCCGCTTCCTCGCGGCGTCTTCTTCTGCCTCCAGGCAAAGCCCGTGCCGCCGCATGCACAGCGTGATGCCCATGCAAAGCAGCACGTCTTCAATGTTTTCCGTCATTGCTCGCTCAAAGTCCTTTGTTCCAGTCCGAATGAGCTCCTGATAGTGCAGCCACACCACCGTCGCGTTCGCCTGCGTCAAGTCACACTGCAGCATTTTCGACTGTGACTACTCACTGGTGTGTATTGCGGTGCAAGAAGTGGTACCCCGTACTTGGAGCAACGGAGCCCATTGTTCGCCGTGTCGGAAACAGTTGAGGAAGGTCACGGCGGCTTAGAAGCGGCCATCGGTGTCGCTGATAGGGCTATATAGAGCACAGAACGGGTCTCCCCCGGCTGGCGGATACCGATGTTGTGGTCGTCGGGGTAGTACTGGTTCCATACGCACGTGGCGGCGTCCACGAGGGTGCTCGGAGGCGAATTGGACGGACGCATTATTGGTCGTGCGAGCTTTTCGTCGTTTGGGACTGACGGCTCAAACCATTCAGATACGACAGTTGGGATTTCGGGTTGGAGGATGTTTGACAAACGATCTCAAGCATAGATTGGGATTGTTTTCGACGATCCGTCTTTCGTATTTGTGTTTCAACGGCAACGACTGCAACAGCGACTTTACTACAGCTGACCTACTGCGCTGCTGCCACAGTTGACCTTGCTTAGCCTTGACAAGAGAGCACTTCTACCCGCGAGCTGACGAAAAGGTGCTGGTCTCTCGCTTGACACAACAAGCTCTGGTGCACTTGACTCGCACTCGATTCGTAGATATTCTTTTACCAACTGCAGAGGCACGTTCGTCGACAAGTTGGGTTTCCCCGGCTTCTGTATCACTTCCGTGTAGATCACTGTGGTGTATCGTGTTCCAAGAATGGGGTGTCCGAACGACATGCATGGCCCAGCAAGTTTTACGATACTTGACCCGGATAGACGCTCGATGTCTTCGTGGAAGGCCTACCACCCCCTCGTTTGCCAAAGCCCTATCGGTTGAATACAGAAAAGCCTATCCATCCCTACATTCTTCACCCACAAAACGGTGTCGATGCATTAGTTGATCGATGTAAAAGTCGATCTTACTCGAGGCTGAGCTCGATCTTCGCTCAGTGATGTATCCGCCCGTTGCACGACTTCTCGTCTCGCAAGCTGCTTTGTCCGGACATTGG